GTAATATTTGGGGTCACATGTTTTTGCCATGGATATTTTGTGGGTCAGAAGATAAAAAGTTTGGGAACCACTGCTCTAGATTATACATCCTTTCAGAAATTACCACAAGAAAGACTTCAAGTCTAATTTTGTCTTTCATCTCATAAGTATTATTGTTATGGTAGTTTTTTTTTTTAAATGAGCTGAACTCACACATAAATTTGTGGTAATGCTCGTGAACTGCACATTACCTCCGTTCAGTTTTTATTTTATCCCTCGCTTTTAAAATGTTCACGTTTCAAATAGAGTTGCAAATCTATAGGGCTTATTCAAATAAGTAGTGCCATCCGGTGTCACTGGCTGAGAGGATAGTTTTCAGTATATTTTCATATCACACAGGCAGCCCCGGAACAGGAACATGTGGACTTATCGCACACACAAAGTGAGTGTAAGTTAAGTCTGTAAGAAGATTTATTTGCATAAGCAGAGCCGCTTCCCGTGAAAACGCCTTGGATGAAAAAAAGGTCCTGTTGATGTGATAATACATAACGGCTGTTGAAGAATTTTTCTGAGTTTTTTTTCTCTTCAGTATCACATGAAAAAATAAGAGTACCGTAYATCGTATCAGTTTACAGCAGTTCTTTCATCTTTCAAATTGTAAATGAATGCAACAAAAATAAAAGGAATTTGTCTTTCTACACTAAATCCTTTACATAATATTTGACGCCACACTTTTTTCACCTGAATAAAGATTATAATAGACTGCAGCTTCTAAAACAGACAAAAATTCTGTTCTGTATATTGACTTAATGAGTAAAATCTTTACATTTATTTTTCACAGTGTTTTTTATGGATTTTAAAATAGTACCATTTTAAAGGTTCGTGAAGTCAAGTGTCTTGAAACGTCCACATGAGTTCACAAAATTCTTGTGATTTTAGGATAACAAATGTCACCCCAGGCCCTGTCTGTGGCTCCACCCCTGACCAGCAGATTAAACAGCCAACGTGGAGGTTATGGGTAACAAAATGTGCATGGCCTAGAGTGTGCAAGCTGTGCACCTGACGATAACTCAGATCGCAAAAGCTTGAATAAAAATTGTCTTGCATTTTCTCCTCATGGATTTAAAAGTTTTTCCCTTTTTTTTCTTCCTCCTCTGGCCAACGTGCCAGCTTGARTTTACACAAGCACGGCACGAAACTTATTGCTCTTCTGATTTTTGTGTGAAGTTTCACACCAGCCTGTTGTGATGATGAAAGGCGTAGCAGCTTGACAGCCTGAGACAAGCCTGGACCGATTAATTCAAATCGTTTAAAACCTTGAAGATGCTCTCTGATGAAGTTTTCCACATGATGTGTTCTTTCAAATAAATTACATTTTTCCATTGAGAATCTTTATTGCATTTTTTCTACACCTTAGGCTATTTTTTATGGATGTCTTGAACTCATTTTGCCTTTAATATTAACATCAGACAGGTTTTAAATAAAGTTTTAAATTCCTACAAATGCTCCCACTCCCACAATTTAAAGTGAAAAGAGGTCCTCAGAAAAATGCTCTAAACACAAGGGAAGGCGGTTTCTTTAAACAGAAAACAGCCAATCATCTGAGGCGCTTCTTGTTTTCAGCCAATCAGCATCCAGGGCCCTTCTCATACTTGTCTGACTGAAGTCCGGACATTTGTTCAGCTCTGCCGCCCCCTTGTGGTTGCTTTGAGCAAAACTTAATTTTTAACAGTCCATTCATTATTTTAATTGCTTCTTCTTTTCAGGGTAATAGGGGGTCAATGGTGCCCAGCAGTCACTGTGTAAGGGGCGGGATACATCCTGGACAGGTTGCAGGTCCATCACATCACATTRAGACAGACATTCACACTCTCACTCTCACTTAGAGAGAAATGTTAAAGTTACCAGTTAGCCTAACATACGTTTTTGGTTTGTGGGGAGAAACTGGAGCACCTGGAGAAAASCCTCTATGCAGAAAGGTCCCAAGTCAGGATTTGATCCTGCAACCCTCTTGCTGAGAAGCAACAACAACTGAGCAACCTTGCTGCCCACTTTATATTGAAGCTTTTGCTGAATTCATTTAATAATTTTTGTTTGTTTGTTTGTTGAAGTTYGCAAAAACAGCCTAAAAACTATTGACAGCTGAAGCAAATGTATCTTTATTTAATGAATCACTGGCAAAAAAAAAAAAATCCTTTTTACATTTTGTAAATGAATTGTAAACTTCAGGAACTGCTCTGCAGAATAATAAAGTTTCAACTCCAAACATTATGTTTAGGACTAGGGTTGGGCATAATCGCATCGTGTGCAATTAATCGTCAGAAAAACATTAATCGATAACTTTTTGGCACTTGACGATTAATACGATTAATGCCATCATCAGTCCGCTCGGTGCTCCTCTCCGCTTCAAATATGACAAACATTAAAAAGAAAAAAGTTCAGTAATTTATTTAACTATCAGCACAATTTAAAAATTTATGTAAAGCCTGAATGTAATTTTGACACATTTTGGAACAGATTTTTACGAAGAGCAAATCTTTCCCACTAAATTGGTCTTTTGACTAGGACATGCAGTGGTCCAGGGACTCCAGGATTAACCGTCAAATTAATCGTTATCGGCTAAATACCACAATTAATCGTGATTTTTTTTTGCCAATATTGCCCAACCCTATTTAGGACTACTCTCAGCTACTACCACACTTCCCAAGGTTATGACCGATGTGTTTGCTAGAGAAMAGTGGTCATCTTGAATCTGCACGATCCAAACATTAGTTTTAGATGAGTGTTCAGGGATTTTTAAAAAATATAAATTAGCTAAGTGATTTTGCTAACAGGCAGACAATTCATCCTTATTTTCCTGTTCATTGACAAAAAACTCCAACATGATACAAAATAATCACAGAAGAGGAAAGAAACAGTTTTGTATTTCCTCTCTGGGCTGTAGGATTTCTCCTCTTCCTCCTCCTCCTCCTCCTCCTCTTCCTCCTCCTCCTCCTCTTCCTCCTCCTCTCCCTCTTGACATGTTGTTGTGGTCTCTGCCTTAACCCCGCCCACCTGTCCACTCTTTAAACAGCCTTCAGAAGGCAGCAGCCTCCTCATCCTCACATGGAGCTCACACTCACTACACAAGCTGTTCATTGAAGAATTTAACATTAACAAAAACAAAATGGAAGCAAATGTTGTTGTTCTGGGAACAGACAGCGTTGGGAAATCAGGTAGGAATCTGTTTTTGTTTGTTTAAAGAAAAYATAAGTTTCTCATAGCCTGATTAGGTTTTTTAAATTTTTAATAATAAAATGTTCTTTTCCCAGCTCTGACTGTGCGCCTCTTAACTCGGAGGTTCATCGGTGAATATGGRGACATCGGTGAGGAAGAATATATGATTTTAAAATAATAAACTAGATTTTARCAAACAATCTTAAATCTTGAGCTTCTCTTGTCTTCTAGAGTCCATCTACAGTCACAGTTTTATATCAGATGGGAGGGAGATCAGTTTCAGTATCTGGGATTCACCTTACTCTGAGGTAAACACACACACACACACACACACACACACACACACACACACACACACACACAC